AGAGAGAGAGAGAGAGAGAGAGAGAGAGAGAGAGAGAGACTGACTGACTTTGCCTGTGTGTGCATATTTAGAAAAAGCAATAATTATCTAAATTACAAATAAATACCATTATTCAAAGTTCACCAATAAATATCTTCTTTTACTTCATAAAAAATAAATAAAAAATAACAGCTATAATTCAATATGCACACTATTTTCTCTACCTGCTTGGCATAACAATTACTTTCTTGCTCTCCTGTTCATGGTGGCCGAACACTGTGGACAATACCATTTTCCTTTTGGTGGAGCCGTAATACCAACACATGGGTAATGGAACCATTCCACTGGACACTTTGGGTTATCACAAGCAACCATGTCACCGTAAGATACTTGATTACAGACGCAATATCTTGGTTCATTGGGATCATACGTCCAATCTGGATTTTCTGAATTGGGATCAATAAGTGCATCTTGAAGTAAGTCTTCTGAGGGTGCAGGCGAAGCTTCCATAACAGCAGGAGCTGTTAGGCTACTGGTCGACCCCCCGTGCTTCTTTTTCTGCTTCTTGTTGCTGGATCCAGTGCTTGTGCTACTGCTACTCGTTGTTGTAGCTGTCTCCTGGGGAAGTGATGACGCTGCAAGAGCAGTTTGGGCAGCATTTGCTAGCTCGCTTCCAATGGAGAATTCTGTTGGATGAACACCTGAGGTGACTGCATCATATGATGCCTTGAGGCTTGCTGTACGACGACCCTGTTGCATCTGTTGTGTAGCTGCTATTGCTTGAGATGCTGCTGCTGCAATAGCATTACTGCCAGCACCCATGTGGCCCAGCGTGTAGGCAATAGTTGATGAAGATGGAGGGGATGTGGATAAGCCTGTCGGTAAGCTGGGTTCTATTCTTTCTTCTTTCTTGATGATTACTGTGGAAGATGAGGACTGCCGACGCTCAGAATTACGATAACTGTGCGTGACATTTCGGTTTTCCTTCTGGTTGTCTCTGATAGGCTCATCTAACTCAAGAGACCGCTTCTCTAACACCTCAGTGATACCAGGACTGTCAGCTTCAAGTTCACACTTAAATTTCTCCAATTCTTGGTCAAGCTTCCTCATGTAGCGTTCTAAGAGATCGTGCATGTTGGTTGCAACCTGCACCTTTTCTTCTGCGTCATCCAACAATTTGTAATATTCTTTCCGGATCTTCTCATACTCCGCCTCTCGTTCCTGGGGTTTCATCTTCTTGGCATTGCCGAAGAAAATCTTGATCTGCTCCTCCAGCTGGTCAGAGGTGTTCTGGATGCCTAGGTCTAACTCACGCAGATCCGTCGTCCTGTCTCGTATTTCCTGAGGTATTTGTTCAATGACCTCGAGGAAATCTTCGAGGTACAGCATACTGGCTCGAGTTTAAGTTTTCCGTCTTGGCAATCGTCAAAAATGAAATTCTTTATTCCATTTCAATTCAACGTGATGTACACAAATCCCAACGATGTAAATAAAACGTTTCTCGACCGATCCTCCTCTGTGATTGGTCCTAAAAGACAAAAACAAAATCGAATCTCTCACCTCATTGGCCGAAAATCGTGTAAACAAAAGGCAAAGACTGGAACACCATTGGCTGAAAATCATAGTGTCCGTATGCAAGGATTAACGGATTCGACTTCGTCATTTTGTATATGTGGTTAATATGTTACATTGATTTAACAAGTTCATCAGAGAGACCTAATTTATAATGATGAATAAAATATTCACCAGAATGACAATCGAAATAAGTATGACAACTCAACTTTTTGTTTGAAAAACACTACAGGAGAGGGAGAGAGGAAGAGGGAGCGAGAGAGGGAGAGGGAGCGAGAGAGGGAGAGGGAACGCGAGAGGGAGAGGGAACGCGAGAGGGTGAAAGAGCGAGAGATGGAGANATAAACCTACCCCCCCAGTTCCTTCAAGGAGGTGTGTTCAGTAATTAAAACTGTGGAACGGCCCTCTTAAGTGTTGGATTTATGTCGGTTGTTTGAATTTGTTATTGGGCGCGTAAACGTGTTTCTGCTGTAGTTTGTGGAGGAAGTAAGAAAGAGGAAGGTAGAGCGTATTTTGATTTTATGCCCCGAGAGCCATGCTGTTAAACCGGAGGGTGTTCTGTGTTTGACCGCCTGAGAGAGAGAGAAGATGAGAGGAAAGGTGAGACGAGAGAGCGAGAGAGGGAGAGAGGTAGAGCGAGAGAAGAGAGAGGAGAGAATGATGATAGAGGGATGACAGAGGAGAGGAGCAGAAGGAGAAGAGGAGGAAGAGAGACCGGAAATCAAGGAGACGAGAGAGAGAGAGAAGAGGAGAGACGAGAGAGAGATGGAGATTAATGGGTATTTGTAGGGGAAAAGGGGACAACAGAAACTGGGAGAGAATATACAACACACACACACACACACCATATGTTTTATACATAAAGTTTGTTCCTGTCACTATAACCCGGTAAGCAAGAACATGCGTCACAGAGCAAGAGCTCAAAGACAATAGCGGGAGTCAAGCCGGGATCTCGCAATGGCTTTCATCCCACACCTGACCAAGATGTCCTCATCTGAACAGCAGGGGCGAAACTGATCTGTTTTCTCATGAAAAGTGTAGGTGATTCAGAAAACCCACAATTAAAGATACATGATTATACATCCATATTCTTTGTGTATTTGGCAGAGTGAACGTTGTTTGATTGATTTATATAAATGAGATGGAGAGATATAGAAGAAATAATAATAAATCAAATCAGCGACAGTTCGCAGGATAAAAAGCATATTGTCTCTTTTCTCAAGCCAGTTAGACGGAGGGCGCCGCCATGGGATGATGCCAGACATTCAACGCAACCCCACGACGTGCCATTTCCTCCAAGGACGTCTGCAACCATGAACCTCCTACCCACCTGTGGCTCGCAGTTCTACAGAGGCGCTTTGGACGTGCAACCCACAAGCCTTTTTTCCTCTTCCTTGCCCTCCATCCACCATTCCACTCGTGATCAAGTTCTCCAGCATCTCTCTTCTCATAACGTGACCAAAAGCTTCAGTTGTCTTCCTGTGTCCTCATCAACTCCTCGTTCTCCATCTCGAAGGCTGCCTCGTTCGTCAGTCTGGAAGTCCATAAGACCTTCGTCAGTCTCCTCCACGGCCACATTTCCATTCCCTCCGGCCGCTTCACCAAAGCCGCTGACAAAGTCCAACTTTCAACACTATATAACAATGTTGACCAAATGTGTGCTTTTATGAGTTTTTCCTTGTGTTTATGGAGAGCTTTTTGTTTGTTAGAAATTTCCAGAGCTTATTTTGTTTATTGGAAATTTCCTTATTCTTATTTGTCTCATAATTTCTGCCTCACGGCTTAAATCTTCTATCACCATACTACCTAAATGTTTAAAGCTCTCTGCCTGATCCACTGCTCGGTTTCCACGCCTCAAGCCAGTTCTTGGTCCTGGTGCAACCTTCGACATCCCCATACATTTTGTCTTTCCCACACTGGTCGTCGGTAATTTCCTTGCCTGGCATTAAAGTAAAAATGCGATAATTTATTCAAATAAGTAAAACAAAAGTACAGTAAAATATATATTGGGTATTTGATTGCTAAACAAATGACTGCTAAAGCATCGAAAGTAGGCCAGTGCAACCCCCGGCCAGAAGAGAGCTTCCGTAAGGATAGCAAACAGCAATAGGGGGAACGCGTTATTTTGCTTGATTCTGGTTTTGATTTTCGATGGTTTTTGCTCAGGTTAGGATGAAATTTTCTTTTCGATTCAAGATAGTCAATAAAGGTTTATATTTTGTCATGTAAACGTATTTTTTCATCAAAGCTAAAAAGGTCATAGGGGGCCCCGAAGGGACAAAGTCCTGGGCCCCCAAATGTCTAGCTTCGCCACTGAGGTTTACTACCCTCACTATCATGGTTATTTTTATTATTGTTATAATTATTATCATAATTTGATTCTTCTAGTTGTTGCTGTTGCTGTGTTGTCATTAGAATTATAGTACTATAGTTAGTTGTTATTATGATTTGTAGTAGTATCGTTCTCGCTACTCTTATATTTTTTGCTATTATTGTTGTTATTACAATTGTTGTCGTGATTATCATTTAAATCATTATTAATGTCATTATTATTATTGTTGTTTTTGTCGATGTTATTATCATTATTACTCTTGTTATTATCATCGTTATTTTTTATTATTATCATTATTATTGTTATTGTTATTATTAACATTATTATTATTGTTTTTATTAATAATATTATGATTATTGTTATTGTCATCATCATCATCATCATCAGCTTCCTCACCATCATTATAATGAATATCATTGTTATTGTTGTTGTTGCTGATTATTGTTATTATTGCTATTATTATCAATTGTTTTTAATATTATCAATATTTTTATTATTATCTTTATTATTATTATTATTGGCATCATTATTAACTATCATTATTCTTATTCTTATTCTTATTATCATCATAATTATTATTATTATTATTATTATTATTATTATTGTCATTATTATTATTATTATCATTATTAGCATAATCATCTTTAAAAAGTTACCTTTTAGTAGAAACAAATATATTCAGCGAAAGAATAATTAAGGTAAACCATGATTCCCACATTGAAAATATGTTTTTTTTTTTATGTAACTAAGTATTCCATCCCTAAAATACATTAATATATGAATGTATACACGGATCAGGACGGGTTAAAACAAACTTTTTAGTTAAATATTCAGTAGAAGATTGGCGGAGCATTATAATAGAAGTAGTAATTGAAAATTCCTGTAAAAGAAGTAATAAAAAAGTGAGCTTCTCAATCAACCGTTTCAAAATTTAAATTTCCTATCATACAAACGAATTCTAGATCACTCGTAACTGAAGTTGACGAATTATGATTAATATTTCGATAAAAACAAATATAAAAACTTGAAATCAGAAATTCATTCCGCAATATAACCTATTACTCTTCTTTCCCTTGCCACCCTTATTAAAGTTCACTATAAGGTTGGTGCAACAGTGTGCATGATTACAATGACGATTTAAGCAAATAATAAACTCAAATGAAGCTTCATTCATCAAGACCAAAATTTGCCCCTGACACAAACCGAAAAACGTCTCAGTCGCCTCCGGACCCTCGCCGCGGCTGGACGCGCAGCTGCTTCTCCCGAATTTCGCCGCCTCAAAATGTCCGAGCCAAAGGAATCCGGCTTTGACAGGCTGAAGCAAAGCCTCTCCAAGCACAGGAAGTTCTGGGCTGTCGTGGGTCTCGCTGCCGTTGCTGGTGGAATCGGCTACAAGTATTAGTGAGTTTCTTCACATTTTATTTTTTTGTTACTTTTATTAGTGTTTCTTGGCGTTTTAATCGAAGTTGAAAGGAAATGTAGGCCTTGGGCTGAAAGGGAATATTGAATGTGATGCTGAGTAGATAGAATAAACAGGAGAGAACTGGTTGATTTACACAAGACACGTTGCTATCAGGTTAGATGCAATTTATATGAAATGATTTATTGTACTCTTCTGTCTAGTGCTGGAAGCAGAAATACGTGATAAAAAGATAAAAAGTTTTTAAGTCAATGTCACATGTACATTTAACCAAAAAAGGAAACGGCCACATCTGGTCTCTAAAGCCGTTATGTATTTTGTCATAAAACTGTCATTTTAAGGTAATTTCTTCGCGCATATTTAGAAAGCGAATCTAACTTATTGAATCTCTACCCAGGATGAGGTTTACCCCTGGGATAAAACGTTAGAGAACGAAAAGTAAGGTTAACTCTGTGACGGTGACCGCGTGGAGTGACGTGGGCACAGTCACATAATCTGCAATTTCCTCCGCTGAACATTGATAAAATTTCCTGCAACGGTTGGAACTGAACAGTCAGTATCCGGTGCTTTCGCATAAAGGAAGGAAAAGGATAGAGGAAGATGAAAGAAAAGTTACGCCGAGGGTTAACGAGTCAATGTAGAACCGGCTTCTCGCTGGAAATTTAATCTACAGCCAAACCGTGACCGACGCTGCCGTTTTGGCCCCGTTTAGGTTATGCTCAGAGGCTTTGGTTGTTAGATGAAGACTCTGAGGCCATTGACTCTGGCTGGTGCAAATGGCATGAAAGTATTTCAACTTGCTCTCTGTCTCTCTCTCTCTCTCTCTCTCTCTCTCTCTCTCTCTCTCTCTCTCTCTCTCTCTCTCTCTCTCTCTCTCTCTCTCTCTCTCTCTCTCTCTCTCCCTCCTTCTCTCTTTCCTCCCCCTCCCTCCCCTCCCTCCTCCCCCTCTCTCTCTTCTCTCTCTCTCTCTCTCCTCTCTCTCTCTCTCTCTCTCTCTCTCTCTCTCTCTCTCTCCTCTCCTCCTCTCTCTCTCTCTCTCTCCCTCCTCTCTCTCTTCCTCTCTCTCTCTCTCTCTCTCTCTCCCTTCCTCCCTCCCTCCCCCTCTTCTCTCTCCTCTCTCTCTCTCTCTCTCTCTCTCTCTCTCTCTCTCTCTCTCTCTCTCTCTCTCTCTCTCTCTCTCTCTCTCTCTCTCTTC